CTTAGTGTTTTCAAGGCTCATCCAGAATTCAGAATGTCCTTCTAAGGCTGAATGCTCCACTGAATATATACAGGTATTGATAGACTTACAACCTATGCAACTTACGGCCACTCGACTTTACGACCACAATCGCTAGCCATGACTGCTCCACATCTGGCAGCGCAAACGTTGCCCAGCTGGGCGTACGACAGTGCGGACCAGCTTCCGGCAGCACTACCGTCTCCGCGTGCATATAGCCTACTCAACTTACGACCAAATCGTGTTACGACCGGTCTGTCGGAACCAATCTTGGCCGTAAGTCGAGCACTGGCTGTATACCACATTCTGTTACCCATTCATCTGTTGACAGTCGCTTGGGTTGTTTCTACCTTCTGATGATTGTGAATAACACCGCCATGAACATTGGCTTACAATTATCTGTTTGAGTCCCTTCTTTATTTTTCATTATTTTTTTGTATAGATGGGGTCTTGCTGTGTTGACCAGGCCGGTGTTGAGTTTCTGACCTCAAGCAGTTCTCCACCTCAGTCTCCCAAAGAGCTGGATTAGAGGCATGGGCCACTGTGTCTGGCCAAGTCCCTTTCAAAGCTTTTTTTTTTTTTTTTAAGATGGGAGTCTCACTCTGTTGCCCATGCTGGAGTGCAGGGTGGGATCTTGGCTCATTGCAACCTCTGCCTCCCGGGTTCAAGCGTTCCTCTTACCTCAGCCTTCTGAGTAGCTGGGATTATAGGCACCTGCCACCACGCCCGGCTAATTTTTGTGTTTTTTCAGTAGAGGTGGGGTTTCGCCATATTGGCCAGGCTGGTCTGGAACTCCTGATCTCGGGTGATCCTCCCAACTTGGCCTCCCAGAATGTTGGGATTACAGGTGTGAGCCACTGTGCCCGGCTCCCTTCTTTCAAATCTTTTGGGCATATGCTTAGAAGTGGAATTGTAAATCATATGGCAATTCAATGTTTAACTTTTTGAGGAACCGCCAAACTCTTTTCTACAGTGGATATACCTCTTACATTCCCACCAGCCATGCGTAAGCGTTCCAAATTCTTCACATCCTGGCAAACACTTGTTATTTTCCATTTTTTGGATAATATCCATCCTAATGAGTGTGAGGTGGTAGCTCATTGTGGTTTTGGTTTGCGTTTCTCTAATGGTTGTTGACGTTGGGCCTGTCTTCATGGGCTTATCTTTCATGTGTATATCTTCTTTGGATTAATGTCTATTGAATTCCTTTGCCCATTTTTGAATTGGGTTTTGTTGCTGAGTTGGCTCATCTGATTTTTGACAAAAGTGCAAAAGCAATTCAATGGAGGAAGCATAGCCTTCCAACAAATGGGTGCTGGACCAACTGGACATCACAGGCAAAAAAGCAAAAAAGCACCTTGACCTAAACTTCACACCTTATATAAAAATTACATCAAAATAAATCATGGGCATAAAACACTAACACTTTTATAAAAATGGTGGGAAATCTTTGGGACCCAGGGCTAGGCAAATAATTCTTAGACTTCACATCAAAAGCACAATCCATAAAAGAAGGAATTGCTAAATTGGACCTTGTCGAAAAGCCTTTTGTTCTGTGAAAGCCCAGGTAAAGAGGGTTACAAGACAAACTACAGATTCAGAGAACGTGTTTGCAAACCACGTATCCAACAAAGGACTGGTATATAGAATATATGAAGAATTCTCAAAACTCAACAGTTAGAAATTGAGCAAAAGAGATCAACAGACACTTCACCAAAGAAAATATCCAGATGACAAGTAAGCACGTGAAAAAAGGTCAACATTAGTCATGCACACGAGAACCACGATGAGGTATCACTATACACCTATTACAATAACTAAAAAATAGTGACAACACCAAATGCTGGCAAGGTGGTGGAGAAATTGGATCACTCAAACATTTCTGGTGAGAATGTAAAGTGGAATAGTCTGGAAAACAGCTTCGGCAATTTCTTCTAAAACTAGATATGCAATTACCATACTACACAGCAATTGCAGTCCTCCATAGGAATGAAAACATGCTCACACAAAAACCTATACATGAATATAACAGCTGAATCCTAATTGCTCCTAACTGGAGACAGCCCAGATGTCTTCAGTGGGTAAATGGTTAAACAAACTGGTACATTCACACTAGAACTACTCAGCAGTAAAAAGGAACGGATAATTGATACACAACAACTTGGATGAATCTCCAAGGAACTATTCTGAGTCAAAAAAAATTCATCCTAAAAAGTCTACATGCTGCATTATTTCATTTATATAACATTTTTGAAATGACACCATTTTAGAAATGGAGGACCGACGTGGTTGTAAAGGGTTAGGGACTAGGGCAGGAGGAAGGAGGGAGTGTACATAGCTGTAAAAGGACAACAGAGGGATCCTTGTGACAGTACTTGGTATATTTTTTTTTTTTGAGACAGAGTCTCACTCTGTCCCTCAGGCTGGAGGGCAGTGGTACAGTCTCAGCTCACTACAACCTCTACCTCCTGAGGTCAAGTGATTCTCATGCCTCAGCCTCCCAAGTAACAGGGATTACAGGTGTCCACCATCATGCCTGGCTAATTTTTATTATTTTTACTAGAGACAGGGTTTCGCTATCTTGGCCAGGCTGGTCTTGAACTCCTGGCCTCAAGTGATCCGCCCACCTCGACATCCCAAAATGCTGGCATTACAGGTGTGGATGAGCCACTGTGCCCGGCCAGTATTTGGTATCTTGATGATTGTGGATACACAAACCAACACATGATAAATCAAAAGAAAAGTACAGTTAAATTGGAGAAATCTAAATAAGAGGAGTAGGTTGTGTTGATGTCAATATCCTGGTTATGACATTATACTTAAGTTCTGCAAAATGTTACCATTGTGGGGAACTGGAAGAGTATACAGGGGATCTCTATTATTTCTTACAACTGCATGTGATTCTATAATAATCTCAATACAATTTCAAATTAAAAAGCAAACAAAACACAAAGAGCAGTGTCCTACAGATACTTCTGGTTAGAGAAATAAAGGGGGCTGGAATTAACAAACATCTGTATACTCTACACGAGGACATACTGGTGACCCGGATTGGATTATCCACTTCTTGGATGATAAAATGTCAAGCTTATAAACTAAAGAAAATTCTCAAGAGAATTTTGGGCAGAAAAAAAAAATGGCATGAGAGCCTTAGTGGCGACAGTGGAAAAGTAACAAACCTAGAGGAAAATCATCCCTGGTTTTGAAAAAATGGGTTACTGCAAGAATGATATCCTCGTCAAAAATAATCCTTGACTTGCTGGAGCAAATGTTGCCCCATTCCCAGACTTTTTTTTTTTTTTNTTTATGATCTTCTATTTGTCCCCAGTGTCCTAAAAATTTCCAGTGATATGCCTTAATGTGATTTTATTTTTATCCATTGGTCTTTCAATCTGGAAACTACAGGTTGGGGAATTTTATTTTCTTTTCTTTTCTTTTTAAAGATGGGGTTTCACCATGATGGCCAGGCTGGTCTTGAACTCCTGACCTCAGGTGATCCACCCACCTCGGCCTCCCAAAGTTCTAGGATTACAGGCGTGAGCCACGGCGCCTGGCCATTCCTAGACTTTCTCATGCACATTCCAATTCGTCTGTTCTGAAATTCTCCTGCGTCCTGAACTTACTCACAGCATGTTCTTATTTTAATGGAAACGTGGCTTTCTGCTGGGAATCATGCTTTCCAGAAGCCCTCTAAGTAGACATGGCTGTTCCTTTTCCTATCCCACACAGTCCCCTCGTGGTCATGAGGTAAACAAATGATACTCCCCACTACACACGCCGTATAAAAAGACCCTAATCCTTTGAGGCTCACCCATACCTGAATCCTGCTCTTTATGCTGTCTCTTTGCCACCACCTGTAGATTTCTATTTCTGCCACCCTCAGCTCACCAGGCAGCAATTGGACACCAACGGGAAAGATCTGTTTTTCTTTTACCAGAAAACTCTGAGTTTATACCTGCAGTGCTGATGGCAGTCTAGTGCCATATGTTTATGTATGCATGTCTATGGGCGTGGGTATTCATTGTCCGTATGAGGAAAAAACAAAACAAAACCAAAAAAACGAGTATCAAGATTTTCAAATTATGAAGGCCAGTATAAATATTTGGCCAGGCACCATGGCTCACGCTTGTAATCCCAGCACTTTGGGAGGTCGAGGCAGGGGGATCGCCTGAGGTCAGGAGTTCAAGACCAGCCTGGTCAACATGGTGAAACCCCGTCCCTACTAAAAATAAAAAAAATTAGCTGAATAGTCTCAGCTACTCGGGAGGCTGAGGCAGGAGAATCGCTTGAACCTGGGAGGTGGAGGTTGCAGTGAGCCGAGATCGCACCACTGCGCTCCAGCCTGGGCGACAGAGCGAGACTCTGAAAACGCCCTTGAATCATCTTTCCTAGAAATTTGCCTCCCACCGCCATATAGCCCTGAAAAGTAGTAGTGTCTTAAATGGGAAGGTGCCATTAAAAATATATATACAAGTGTTTTCCTCTATGAAAATAAACGATGTTCGTTATTTTTAAAATCCTCTAAAGCGTAAAACTGAAAACGCAGCACTGCTGTTCCACCGCCCAAACAGAACCACCGTCAAGGTTTCCGCTTCGGTCTTGCTTGGGTGCCCGGCTGGAGATAAGCGCGGCTTCACCGCTCCACTTCGCGGCACTGCGTCCCGCCTCCTTCACTCGGCGTCGTGGCGCGGCCTTCCTCCCGAGGTACCTGAACACCTCCCATCAGTATCGTGGTGCGATCGTTGGCTTTTTAACTCCCCAGCAGGACAGCGGAACGCACATCTCCGTGCAGAACGTTTGGTCCGCAACACTTTGTAAAAATGTCCAGCGCGCTCGGGATGCTGCCCACTGGGACCCAGCCCCGCGCGCCGTCGGCGCCTCCGTCACCTTCACCACGCTTGGCGCCCCTCGGCCCCCGTAGAGACGCGTTGACGTAAGACGCGTTGACGTAGACGCGCTGACGTAGACGCGCTGACGACGCGCGAGTGACAACGCTGGTTTCCCTGGTGACGGTTGCCGGGGCAGCGCGTGCCGGCGTCCGGAAGAAGTGGCCTCGCCGCGGCAGGGAGAGGTAGAGAGAGACGGCGGTAAGTGCGGGGAGGGCGGAAGGGCCGGGCCGGAGCCGGGAGAGCCCGGGCGCGCTGCCTCTGCCCCCGCGGGACTGAGGACTCGCCGGAGGGGACTCCGCTCAGGCCGCAGATTCCAGCCCGGGAACCAGATCCGCACCGCGGCCCCATCCCAAAGCCGTCCCTGCGTAGGTGCCGGCAGGCTTCGGGGCGCCAAACTGGGCGTCCGCGGGCGTCTCCGCCACACCCCCAGGCCCCCAGCCTGTTGTTGAGAACACTCGAAAAGAACACAGTAAAAGCAGAAAGAGAAGGAGAGAGAAAGGAAAGCAGTGGAAGAAAGCGGCCGACGATGGGGCGAGGCGCTGTCTTTCCTCACCGGCCCCGTCACCTGTGCGCTCGGCAGCCCTTGGGATCCTGCCTCCTCCCAGGAGCCTGCGTGGCTGCCACTCTTCCCACTCCCTGTGCTCCCTGGCTCCAAGTCCTGCCTGGGCCAAGAGTTCTTTCCATGCAGCTCCAGCCTTCCTTTTTTCTTTTTTTGAGACGGAGTCTCACTCTGTCGCCGAGGCTGGAGTGCAGTGGCGCGATCTCCGCTCACTGCTACCTCTGCCTCCCGGGTTCAAGCGATTCTCCTGCCTCGGGCCCTCGAGTAGCTAGGATTACAGGCGCCCGCCACCACGCCTGGCTAATTTTTGTATTTTCAATACAGATGGCCAGGCTGGTCTCGAACTGCTGACCTCAGGTGATCCGCCCACCTGGGCCTCCCAAAGTCCTGCGATTACAGGCATGAGCTACCGTTCCCGGCCTAACCTTTACTTTTTTAAAAAAACTAATAGACTTAAAGCAGATTTATGGAAGCATTGAACAGAAAACAGTTCCTTTATACCTTCCATATTCCCGTTTTGTCTGTTGTTAACATCTTCCACATGGCATTGGCATGGTACATTTGTTATCATTGATACAGCTATATTGATATGTTCTTACTACCTAAAGTTTATAGTTTACATTCAGGTTCATTTGTTGTTGTTATTTTGAGACAGGGTCTCATTTGGTCACCCAGGCTGGAGTGCAGTGGCGTGATCATGGCTCACTGCGGCCTGGAACCCCTGGACTCAAGCAGTCCTCCCAGCTCAGTCTCCTGAGTAGCTGGGAACACAGGCACATGCTACCATGCCTGGCTAATTAAAAAAATTTTTTTGTAGAGATGCGGTGTTGCTATGGTACCAGGCTGATCTCAAGCTCCTGGCCTCAAGTGGTCCTCCCACCTTGGCTTCCTAGAGTGTTGACATCACAGCTGTGAGTCACCACACCTGGCCAGCGTTCATTGCTTTAGGTTCTACAGGCCTACAAGTTTTGCTAAACATGTAATGCTATGTATCCACCATTAAAGTACACGGAACACTTTTCACTTCCCTAAAAACCCCTGAGGCTTTACTGTTCATTCCTCCTCCCCGCCAGCCCCTGGAAACCACTGACATTTTTCATTTAGAAGGGATTCACAACCACCGATACCTTTTACTTCTCTGTAATTTTGCCTTTTCCAGATTATACAGTTTGCAATTATATAGTTTGTAGCCTTTTCAGACTGGCTTCTTCACTTAGCAACACACATTTAGGTTTCTTTTGTGTCTTTTCTTTCTTTCTTTTTTTTTTTTTTTTTTGAGTCGGAGTTTTTGCTCTTGTTACCCAGGCTGGAGTGCAATGGCGCGATCTCGGCTCACCGCAACCTCCGCCTCCTGGGTTCAGGCAATTCTCCTGCCTCAGCCTCCTGAGTAGCTGGGATTACAGGCATGTGCCACCATGCCCAGCTAATTTTTTGTATTTTTAGTAGAGACGGGGTTTCACCATGTTGACCAGGATGGTCTTGATCTCTTGACCTCGTGATCCACCCGCCTCGGCCTCCCAAAGTGCTGGGATTACAGGCTTGAGCCACCGCGCCCGGCCCTTGTGTCTTTTCATGGCTTGATAGCTCATTTCTTTTCATCACTGAATAATATTCCCTGGTATGAGTGTACCAGGTTATCTGTTCACCTGCTGAAGTACATCTTTTTTTTTTTTTTCTGATTTTTGATAATTATGAGAAAAACTATGAACATTTCATGTGCAGGTTTTTGTGCGGACATACTGTTCAGCTTATTTGGGTGAATATGATTACTGGGTCATATGGCAAGAGTGTGTTTACCTTTGAAAAGATGACCCAGTTGTCTCACAAAGCGGCTTTTCCCTCTTGCGTTCCCACCAGCAGTAAATGTAAATGCCTGTTGCTTCACATTCTTGCCGTCATTTGATGTTGTCAATGTTTTGGATTCTAGGCGTTCTAATAGGCATGTAATGACATCTCATTTTTGTTTTAATTTGCAATTTTCTAGGGGTATGTGATGCTGAACATCTTTTCATGTGTCTCTTTACCATCCATATTTCTTTTTTGTTGAGGAATTTGTTCAGAGCTTTTGCCCCCACCCCCAGACAATGGAGTTTCACTCTTGTCATCCAGGCTGGAGTGCAATGGCGCAATCTCAGCTCACTGCAACCTCCACCTTCCGGGTTCAAGCTATTCTCCTGCCTCAGCCTTCTGAGTATCTGGGACTACAGGTGCCTGCCACCACGCCCAGCTAATTTTTGTATTTTTAGTAGAGAAGGGGTTTCGCCATGTTGGCCAGGCTGGTCTTGAACTCCTGACCTCAGGTGATCTACCCACCTCAGCCTCCCAAAGTGCTGGGATTGCAGGCGTGAGCCACCGCGCCCAGCCTCTTTTTATTTTCTTAACAGTATCTTTCACAGAGTAGAAGTTTATAATTTTAATGAGGTTGAATTTATCAATTTTTTTCTTTCATGTATCATGCATGCTTTTGGTATTATATATGAAAACTCATAGCCAAACCCAAGGTCAGCTAGATTTTCTCCTGTGTTACATTTAGGTATATAATCCATTTTGAGTTAATATTTGTGACAGGCATAAGGTCTGCGTCTAGATTCACTTTTTTACATGCGGATATCCATTGTTCCAGCACTATTGCCTTTGTTTCTTTGTCAAGGATCAGTTGACTCTCTTTCTATGGGTTTCTTTCTGGGTTCTTCATTTGGTTTCATTGATTCATTTGTCTGTTTCTTCACCAACACCACACTAAATGATAGTCTTAATTACTATCATTTTATAGTGAGTCTAAAGGTCAGGTGGTGTCAGTTTTCCACCTTTGTTCTTCTTTAATACTGTGTTGGATATTCTGGATCTTCTGCCTCTCCACATAAACTTGAGAATCATTTTGTCAGTATCCATACAGTAATTTGCTGGGATTTCTTCTTTTTTTTTTTTTCCGGCAGATGAGTCGTTACACACTCCTTAGTGGATTCCAGCTTCCGTGACCGCCATCCTGGTGCTGGGATTTCTGTATTGGAATTGCATTCAATCTGTAGATCCAGTTGGGAAGAACTGACATCTTAACAATATTGATTCTTCCTATTCATGTTCATGAGATAACTATTTATTTAGTTCTTGATTTTATCAGAGTTTTCTATTTCTCCTAATATAGATGTTACACATATTTCGTAAGATTCATACCCAGGTATCTCCATTCTTGCGTTAATATAAATGATCTCACATTCTTAACTTCAGTTTTCCATTGCTTATTGCTCGTATGTGGGAAAGCATTTGACTTCTGTATATTACCCTTACTTATGGCAATCTTGCTACAATGACTTCTTAGTTCCAGGATTTTTTTTTTAATAGATTCTTTGAGATTTTCTACATAGACAGTCAGTCATCTGCAACCAAGGTGATTTTATTTCTTCCTTTCCAAAATATATATCTTTTTATTTCCTTTTCTTGTCTTATTTCATCAGGTAGAACTTCTAGTATGATGTTAAGTGAGAGTGGAAAGAAGGGACATCTTGCCACGTTCCCAGTCTTCGGGGAAAGTGTGTAGTTTCTCACTGCCAAGTGTGATGGCAGCTGTATGTTTTTTGTAGATGTTCTTTATCAAACTGAAGAAGTCACCTCTCTTCCTAGTTTACTTAGAGCTTTTATCATGAACAAGCATTGGATTTGGTCAAATGCTTTTTCTGTGTCTATTAATATGATCGTGTGAATCGTGCGACTTTTCTTTAGCCTGTTGATGTGATAGGTTACACTAATTGATTTTCTAATGTTAAACCAGCCTTGCATACTTAACTCCTATTTGATCATGCCGTATAATTATTCAAATACATCATTGGATTCAATTTGCTAATATTCTTGGAGGTGCAGGATTTTTTTTTTTTTTTTTTTTTGAGATAGGTTCATGCTCTGTCACCCAGGCTGGAGTGCAGTGGTGCAATCATGGCTCACTGCAGTCAGAGGGAGATTTGGGAATTACCTTCCCTCCATTCACTTGACTGGCCAATTGAATTCTTTCTTTGCTGCAAAACCTACTGTTTTCAGCATGTTGGTTTTCTGGACAGCAGGCAAGATGAACCTGTCAGGCTGTTACACGCTCCAGCTGCCTCCTCTTCCTCCTCCTCCTCCTCCTTCCCTCTCTCCCCTCCTCACTCTGCACCTTCTCTTCATCCTCCTTTGTCCACACTCTAGGTCTCAACTACCTGAGGCTCAGACTTCCCTTCTGAGTCCCAGACCTCGCCAGCATCTCAGCCAGCCAGCTGCCCACCCAGCATCTCAAAGTCCACCACCTCGTCTGCAGCATGGAAAACCCGTCCTCTGTCAGGGCCTGCTGTCCCCCCAGTCACTGAAACTCAGCACAGCCCAGGCTCCCCACTCCTTCTCTGCACACCTGCCTTCAGTCCCTTCCGTTTGGCAGCAGTTCCTCTTCCCCCTTCTCCATCTCTCAGGTGCAGTTTTGATTTAGGCCCACATGCCTTCCCAGAGACGCCCCTCGCTGGGCCCTTTGCCTTCAGCTGTGCGGAAGGCACGGGTGATCCTGTGTGCACCCCCGGAACATCCCCAATGCCTCAGGATAAAGTCCAGGCTCTTTCGCTGGGCAGATCAGACGCTTTCTGGTGCTTCCCCAAATCTGCCATGCCCTCTGGCCATT